AGCGACATTTCTCTATTTTGACCCTAAGTTTTTGTCTACATTCGCCTATCCTTATAACTTGGCTTTATGTCTATATAATTTATTGGAAACTAAACACATTCTATATACCTTAATTAGTGGACAAAGCTTTAGCGCAATAATTTCCCGCCCACCAACAGTAAGAATTCCGCGAAGTTGGAAAAATTGGCGCCAGTAGTAGTGAATCCCTATATAAGTGTTAATGTAGGGCGGCCTATTGTAAGTTGTCTTCGTAATTTAACATTTACACAAAATGAAACAAAGTTGCTTAGAAATACCACTAAGTGTTTTTGTTCCACAAAAGCCATGTAGATTAGGAGTCACACAAAAGGGGGGAAAGCGTAGAGTTGTGAATAAGAGGCGGGTAAAGGTCCCTAAGTTCCTGGTGGAGACTCATCAGCTGGGTGTGACCAATAGACCAGCACATCCAGTGGGTGGAAAAGCTAGGCTAGGGGCTGTTATTATTGGTGTTATGGGCTCATCCAAGCTATCTCCCGATGGCCTGGTTTCTGTCAAGATTGTGACTGCAAGGTCACTCGCTGCACGACTTTCAAGTGGGAAGAATGAACCAGGAGATGTTGTGGTGCTACAGAACAGTAAGGTATACCCTGCCCACGTTCCAGACCTATCGGATTTGGCATTGCTACCAGCCGCGTTAAAACTAGCTATAAGATGGGCACTGTTAAAGGACGGAGGAGAAAACGGAAAGGGTATTCAGCATCTAGTCCCTGCATCCATAAAAAACATACTGTACCAGGTTGCATCGTTACCCACCATGATAGAACCCTTTAAGGTAACTGAAGGCATCCACGAAATGGTTGTAAATAGCTACAGTGATGACGTGAAGCTGCTGCAAACTGAGGATAATGTAAGAGTCAACCATATATTTGTTGCCTCTTGTTGGTTAGGACAACATCCTTTGGATGGCCGGAAAGCATCAATTACATTATGGGCAACGCTTGTTCTTCAACAACATGGTACGACCAAAATCTTAATATGGAACTGCAGAGATATGGGTAGGGAATTATTTCCTAGAAGAATTAAGGTTGTTGGTTGATGTAAACATGCCAGATATCGTGATATTGACAGAAAGTAGAGTTTTAATTCACATGGCAAGGTTCATATGTAAGAGCCTACATTGGATGTCAATCCACGGTTCAACAAAGTGTGGTGTCGTTGGGGGCGTTGTGCTCATGGTCCTGTCCAACATGGTCAAAGTAGGAGTCGAAGGACAAGACGGGCAATCGATAAAGTTGAGTATTAAATAATCGCATGAACATGGTCAAACTAAGAGTCGAAGGTCAACATGTATGAATGTTTTGGAATTTAGTAACGTAGTGTTTGTATTGATTTGTATGTGTATGTGCAAGTGTTTGGAGCCTTAGCCTAACTAAGATTCTAAATTAAATTTTAAATGAAATGTATTCCTCAAATATGAGCCTTAGCCTCAAGGAGACTATCTAAATTGAATTTGTTATGTTTATTCTAATATATCTAAATAAAACAAAATTAAAATCTTTTTAAAAGTTTCCTTTTTTAAAAAAAAAAATTAGTTTTTTTTAATCTAAAAAAACAAAATTAAAATCTTTTTAAAAGTGTCCTTTTTTTAAAAAAGGAAATTGCTTTTTGTTTATTTTAATATATATATCTTAAAAAAACAAAATTAAAAACACCTTAGAACTGTACTTTTACCTAAAGTGTAATTGATTTTTTTCTATCCAAACAAGATTCCTCCATTTACATTGGTTGGAAGAAACGATGTATTAGTTGTGGTTTAGTATTCTTCTCTATAAAAGAAGTAAACACCTCCATAGTAAGGAGCACCTCTCAAACACAACAAAAAAAACCCTCTCACGAAAAAAACCTAGTCCAAAAATTTTCTCACTGACACCATGGCTTATCCTCGTGGTTTTTATCCTGCTGTTGTAACCGGACCTTTCCATTTTTTTGAGCACAACCACCACCCTGAACCTGAAATGAACTTCAACGAGTATATCTGCTTTTATAGTGAAAACGGTGGTTTTACTACTAAAGAAGTGGACGTTGACATCCTCCGATGCATTGTTGCAAAGCTAGAGGACAGGCAGCGCTTAATGAACAAGATGATGATGGTGAACGAGGCTGGAACTATTTCTCCGGCCCATTTACCAGTAACATCAGATGTGGTTGCTTTACGTGAGGTGCAGGCCATAATTGAGCGCTTGGAGGTTGAGCCGGTCGTGTATGAAGGCACAACCCCACTTATCCTTAAGCTGTTGTTGCCTTGGATAGATCCCAAGCCAGTTTTGCCCCGTGCTGGTCCAATTTACACCCTTGGCCCGCGGAACTTGGACCGTGGGTTTGGATGCTACACAGATAAGTTCTTATTTGGCCAGGTGAGTAGTGTTTATGATATTTCAAAGTTTGTTTGTATGTTTTTGGTAATTTAGTACTAAATTACAGTAATATATTATAATTGCAGGTATGCGATCCTATGACCAATATCAACTTCACAGTGTTAGCAGACCAATTCATGAAGGAAGAACCCTCAAGTCGTTACCATGAAATCAGACTAACTCCTGAAGAAGAGGATGACAAGGCAGAACTAAGCATCAGATCTAGCATTGTGTTATGGAATGCACGTCGCCTCACGAGACCATCGTTTGTGCCTCATTTTCGCGAAATTGTGGCCACCCACAACCCATTCCTGATGATTGGGCATATTGGACAGTGGTGTATATAGATCAAGCCAGAGTACTATAAATGGACCCAAAAAACAAGCCAATTGGGCATATTGGACAGTGGTGTATATAGATCATACAATGGGCCCAAAAGAATACTGCAACTAAGTATTGGATTTGGACCCAAAAAACAAGCTGATTGGCCATTTGGAGAGTAGTATTGTAAATGGATATTATGAATTATGATCTCAATTCTAAATACAATCCTACGTCTGATGGGCCACATTAATCACGAGAATAAAGAAACATCAGTCCAATCGGTTATAAAATTTATTTGTAACACAAACTGGTGACAATTGAAGCAGGAAATCCATTACCTAGTGTAGGGAATAGTTTTAAGCCTTTAAAAATCCCACTAACTTGAACCCCACTGTGATCATACACTAAAGTACGGTGGCGTCCAAAAGGGAAGAAGATAGAGCAAAAGAGTCGCCAACAAGTTTTTAAGGAACTTGTAAACCGTTCATAGGATGAAGGTTACACCCCTTAACGATCCAAGAGATCGTCAACTCCATAAGGTCATGAACCAAATAAGGGTTCGGGGATGATGGTACAAATCCAACCTAAAAGAGATTGAACCTGCCCTAATAATAGGCCTCTACTTTGTTCTGATCGTATTCATGTGCGCTTTTTAATTAACATGCAATCAATAGGATTAACCCTAAACCTGTTTAATCTATGTTGGTTGAATTTTAATGCACAAATAAACTATCATTGGCGATCACTTGAATTATAATCACAATTAACCTAACAAGATTATTAAATATCTTATTAAGCGTGGTTACAAATACCAATTCCCTTTAAGCATGCAATAAAAGGTGATCAAGCAATAAAGAATATCAAGAAACATAATAAATAATGAACATCATTAATAATAATCAATCATAATCATAATCATGTTCATGTTAATATTAAAGCATAATAAAAATAGCAAGATCCTAGGCATGATACTAACAAGATTAATAACAAACCCTAGCATGTCACTAAGCAATAAAAATCAAATCTTTAGCCCTAACATGATACTAACAATCATAAATATTAGGAAGAATATAGGAAGCATCGTACTTTTAACAATACTTAATATTAAAAATACCCTAGACATGATACTAGGAATCAAAATAACAATCTAAACATGATTTCTACATCATAAAATCAATTAAACCATTAAAGTACTTACTTGGATGCCTCGTACCTCAATCTAATAACAAAATACACGCGTTAGTAACTTCAAGGAAAATAATAATCAAAACAATTAAATTAAATAATTGAAATAGAGATTTGGGACCAAACCCTCAGAAATTAAAACCTTTCACGTCTAGGGCGAAGGCAACTTCGAATATGGCTAGGTGTTTCTAGATCTTGCGAATGCGGAATTTTGTATGAAAAAACAAAGTATTTAAGAAAAGAAAGAATGAATGTCAATGAAAATTGATGAAAAGAGATGAATGAAAAGGATTATTTGACTGTAGATGAATGTTAATTGGTGAATGATGAAGATAGTTGATGAAGACTTAAGAATAAAGAGAATTGGTGAATGATAGATGTAGATGATGAATGAAAACGGAGTTTTTGATACGATATTTATAGAGAAAATCATCCAAAAAAGATAATTTATCAAAACAGAGCCTGAAGATCGAAAACCAACCTTGGCGCCAGCCCTGGCTCATTGGCGCCAGGACCAGTGGCTAGCGTCAGGCGCCAATGGCTGGCGTCTGGCGCCAATCCTGATTCCAGGCGCCAAGGCCTGGGGTTGGACGCCAAATTGGATTTCAACGTGTTTTCAAAAATCCGATAAATTTCTCGTACTGGAAGATAAAATAATATAATTTCAGTCGAAAATGCTATTTGATCTTGATTAAAACTCTGAAGAATCCTAATTGAATTAAGAATGAAAAGAACCTTCTAGAATGTTCTAGAAGACTAAAACCATTCCTAATTGCATTAGGAATGATAAATCACATTAGGCCCTCCCCTAGATCATTGGGTCGTACTTAAAGCTCAAACCAGGCCCAGCTTAGTAAATCGGCCATAAATTCCTCAATATTCATCGGAATTGGACTTATAATATATCGTTGGAAAGGTCTTTGCAAGCCCCATCCAACTACACCACTATTGGACCCATATCATGGACCAACCAAACTGGATTGGCTATTTTCTTAAAATAAAGTTTTCAAAAACAGATAGAAGAGAAAAGAAATAAAACTTTCCGCAACACTAGACCTTTCCACACTTTCGTTTCATTCGATTTTGATTCGACGTGAAAGGCACTCATCACTAGGTTTGGTTTTAGGGAGACACAAATGGGTGTCTACACCTAGCAACACAGGCTTGATTATCAATTGGACTTGAACCATGACTCTCCGTCCCCTTTGGTAGCTCTCCTTCGTCTTGGCTTAGGTGATGGAATGAATATAGACAATTCATCAATCTGATGTAGAGGACCAAGGAACGAATGAAGTTAGATCAGTGATGAGGCTGAGGTTATAACAATAACATCGTAGTATGAAGAATCTTTAACAACCTGGGTATTACTATATGAGTCAGGAGGTCCATTGATATCCCTCGCGTCCAACGGGTGTCTTTCACCGTACGCGACATCCAACATCTGTAGGATGAATGAGAAACGAGGTTATAAGAAAAAACATATCATCCAAGCAGTAACAAAGCAGGAACAACTACATGAAACTCACTCCAGCAGCTCCAAAGTCACCGAAACAACCATGTCTATAAACACGATCCTGCCTAGCAGCTTTAGACATGGCGTTATTGCCCATACACTCACGCGCAGGAATGCACCCCAACGGATGGGATCAGCATTCAAACGGTCCAGATATAACACCTGCAACATCAATGTACTATCCAGTCATTCAGCCTACACAACAGTAAGTATGTTTTAAGTATTTTTACCATAATACAATGTACACACCACGATGAATAACAGAAAACCACCGCTTTCGGCAGCGTGTCCTTCCTGGCAAAGGAAATAAATTTGGATATAACAAGCCCACACCAATCATATTCAGCACAATCCTTTGCACAAGCCAGAGCAGGCAACATATCAGGTGAAATTCTTGGAGATTGCGTAGGACAGAGAACCATGTGCAGCGAAAGGAGGAGAAACAATGTCTTAAATTCAACTTCATCCTTATCTTCCCAATCACCTTCCAATCTATCCATTACTGCAGAGTTAACTAGAATTCCTGTCACATTATAAACACGGCCTTTAGTGCATTTTGTCTCCCATGACTAGCCATACTTCCTTAACAATTCCTCAACATCACCCTTCACATGGTCATTCATTCTGCTCTTCGAAGGAACAGCCTTGCCACCATTTGGAATGCCAAAAATCCAATACACTTGGTTCTGTGACAATTTGAACTCTGTTCCATCAAGGCATATTAACATTTTCTTAATAGGATCAATTCGACTAAGCAACCAATACACCAATTGCCTTGGAAGATGCATGCCTGAATCTAGAAATAATAATCCCCCAAACCCCATTTCACCCACCCACTTCTTCCGTCTGTCATCAAACTTTTGGCAGATTCTACCAAAAGACTCGATACGACATGTCAAATTCGGTGCCTATGTAACACAACAACAGGTGAAGTATCTCAGTAACATATTGCAACCAATTCGTTCATCACAAGGCACTAATACCATAAAATTTGGATTTGGAGCATATGGAGCATACCTTTGTCCGACTAGAAGAGTGATATTTCAACACTTCACCTTTTGCTTTGACCTGACCTCCCACACTCAGTCGGTTGTCCTACATATACCATTTTTCACAATTAGATGCTCAGGTGATCTAGGGAAACACAGAAATACATCTGGAATACCGTAAATTACTTACCTTAAAGATCGTAGAATGCAGTTGTACAAATTTTGGGCCCTTTGTAGTATCACCAAACATTGAACTTCCACTCTAAAAACGAGCATATATTTCAAACAATAAATAAAACCTCATAAAAGTTGAAATTTCAGCCCTGATGCAGTTAAAAATCAATCATACCTTCTCTTCAACTGTTTGTTGTGAACTCCTAACACAATTTGCCTACATGTTATGACCACATCATTGACATTAGATAAACATTCCCTTAAACACCCAGTGATCAATTATGTTTGAGTAAGTTCAAAGCTAATACCTTGGACTGCTTTCTCGTTTTTGTCATTTATCAACCTAAAATAAGATATGTTAAACATACGCATCATAATTGGTGCTAAAATAACAGCAATGCCTCCCAATTCAGATCTTTAGAACTCCTAATCGAGCACTAACGCATCCAATTAAATCCCAATTACAAATACATGCAGTGATTATGATTCAAATGTTACTCAAGTTTACTCAAGTCAATCAAAGTAGAAATTCGGTTGTTAGATATGCGATTCAAATAACAATAATTTCAGTACTTCATAATCGAATCAAATAACATGAATTTCAGAACATTCAACCGTCCGTGTAATTCAGGAAATTCAAAAACATGCAACCGTAGTATCGAATTCAGGCAATTCAACAACAAAGCTATGTCAAAAGCTTACCTGTAAAGAAGGAGTCACATTCAATAGCTTAGCCCGAGTTTATTTACCGCCTATTAACTATGTAACGAAGCTGCAACAATCCCGACAATACCGACTGATTGAACTTTGCTCGTACTGAAATTCGATACTACCCCCAAATTTACAAAATGAAACCCTAAAACTCTAATTGAAATTCAATTGAAATTAATAGAGTTAATCCCTTTTATTTTTGTTTTTTGAGTTTTTTTTTTTCAAAAAAGATTAAGTTCAAAATTAATTCGACAGAGTAACATTAATGCATGAGAGAGGTATAGACGTAGGAAACTCCAGTTAACCATGGTTAACTCACTTTTCACTAACGTCGTGTGTAGAAAGTTAAAAGCAAAGATACCCAGTCAAAGTTCAATTCCGGATATACCCCTATTTCGGTTGCTCAATTTGACGAAACTGACCCTTGATAAATGTCTTTTGTTTATCTGGGAGATCAACCTGGGCACGCTCATAAAATATAGTACTTTCTCCATTTTTTTTAGTTGCTATACTTTTATTTTCACGGTTTTCTATACAAAATTTTAAGAGTTGAGATATAGAGAGAAAAATAAGTGAGCCCATGTGGGTTGGAGAGAGATTAGAGAGAAAGAAATACAGTATAAAAAATAGAAAATGTTGTAACTAAAAAACAATTTCTAAAATAAGAAAGTGTAGCAACATAAAATAAATAAATAAAGGTAATACAATTCAATATTATCAAAATATATCTCTTGATTAATCTAATAATTTACTTGTAATACATACTCCCTCCGTTTTTAAATATTTGCTCCACTTTTCTTTTCCGGTCGTTTTTAAATACTTGCTTCATTTCCTTTTATAAAAAGCTTTTACAATATTTAATTCATTTCTCACACTTAGTGGACCCAACATAATACTCTCTCTCCTCCTATTCTTCCACTACTTTTTCTTTTTACAATTTTTTATTTTCTCAACTAGCCCACTACCTCCATATTTTATTATTTTTTCCAATTTCTCCTAAAACTCCACGCATGGAGAAATGGAGCAAGTATTTAAAAATAGAGAGAGTAATACTAACATTGTTTTACGTAGTATATGGAGTTACTCGTATAATGATACAGTAAAAGAATTATTATTACGAAAGTCAAACTGTTACACTTAAAAGATTGGAGGAGAGTCCAAAACCAAAAACTGAAAACCGACGGTGATACTGAACTAATCTAAAGGTAGTTCGGACCAACTTGACATCCCTCTCTCCCCCACAAACACACACTCTCTCTTTCTCTCTCCTGTTTTACTGTTCCATTACAATTCCCATCTTCCTCTCTTTCTTACTCTCCCCCCCAAAACTGTGAAACTAAATTCCACCCAAAAACCAAAAACAAAAACAAAAACCCTTTCATTTCTACCAAAGTTTCTCACTTTCTTCCCCTTTTTTCAAGGTACTTACTTTGAATCTTTGATTCATAGTCTCTGCTTCTTCTTCTTGCTTCTGCTGCTTCCTGGGTTTTAATTATCTGCCATTTTTCTGCAGATTTTGAAATGGGTTAGAGTTAAATTTTGGTGGGTATGCTTTGAATTTGTTGTTTATAAGTTGAGATTATTGGAAATGGTGGAATTGAATGGAAGGGGGTTTTGGGTTTTACAGCTGTTGGAAAGTATCCCCATTTCTGCTAAAACCACCATTAATTCCGCCATGAAAACCTCAGAAATGTAGATGAGGAGGAGAGAAAGAGAGGAAGAACAAACCCCAACACCTCCATTTCCACCAACAACAACAACGAATCACCAATTTCATCAGCAAGAACATCCACCACCCTTTAATAACCAGCAATTCTACTTGCAGCAATCTCAAGTTAGAGAGGTTTATTCTCAGCTGGAACCCCAGAATTTGGTACCCATTTCACCACCCCATCAACCCATTAAGAAACGCTCTTATATTCCGTCTTCTTCGCCTTCGGCTGCTGTTGGCACACAACATGTTCGACAAAAGGCCGCAATGGGAGATTCTTCATTTGAGCAGCAGCAGCAACAACAGCAGCAGCAGCAGGTTTCCACTAGGTCAGCACTGAGAAAGGCTGGTATAGGGGAGATAGTTGAGGTTCAAGGGGGTCACATTGTTCGAGCCACGGGGCGAAAGGACCGGCATAGCAAGGTCTGTACTGCTAAAGGACCGAGAGACCGGAGAGTTCGGCTCTCAGCTCATACTGCTATACAGTTCTATGATGTTCAGGACAGGCTTGGGTATGACCGTCCTAGTAAGGCTGTTGATTGGTTGATTAACAAGGCTAAGACTGCCATTGATGAGCTTGATCAATTGCCTGCTTGGAGTCCTACTAATATGAATGTTTTAAGCTCGAATAGGCGGCGTGGTAAGAGCTCTGCAGGAGATGGGGTGGTGGAATTAGCTGAGGAGAAGGATGCAGGAAGTGCAGAGGGGATGTATGGTGGTGAGGAACAACAACAGTTATACAACAATGCTAATTGTTCAAATTCTAGTTTGTTACCGCCTTCATTGGATTCTGATGCCATTGCTGATACTATCAAGTCTTTCTTTCCTATGGGTGGGGCAATGCAGGGCACCCACAAACGAGTTCGGCATCAGCGTCTCCGATGCAGTTTCAGGATTATTCTCATGGTGGTTTGATGCAAAGGAGTGGTGGTGGTAATGATGGTGGTGGTAGTAGTAGTAGGCAGAGTCAAGACTTAAAATTGTCTTTGCAGTCATTTCAGGATCCTATACTAATGCACCCACATTCACATCACCACAGCGCTGCTGCTGCTCATGCTCATGATGAGCAGCAGCATACATTGTTCCCAGGAGCTGTCCCAATTGGGTTTGAAAACTCGAATACGGGTTGGGCTGATAGCCAACATCAATCAAACCCGGAATTGGGACGGCTCCATAGGCTGATGCTTGGCTGGAACACCCAGCACACCGGTACCGAGCACCACAATCTCGGTACCAGTAGTGGCAGTGGCAGTGGCAGTGGCGGGGGCGGATTTATCTTTAATCAGCCCCCACCATTGTTGCATCCATTGTTTGGTGGTGGCCAGCACAGCCAATTTTATACTCAGAGGGGACCCCTTCAGTCCAGTAACACACCTTCTATCCGCGCATGGATTAGTGACCCATCTTTTTCAATTGCTAGCTCAAGTGAACATCACAATCAACATCATCAAGCTATTGCAGTCCACCCACAAGCTTTATCAGGCCTTGGTTTTACTTCAGGTGGGTTTCCTGGGTTCCACATTCCTGCTCGGATTCAGGGTGAGGAGGAACACGACGGTGATCCTAATAGGCCGTCCTCTGCTTCCTCCGGTTCTCGCCATTGATTTAAGAAACTTTGAACACTCCCCTTAACCTGTTTCAGTCTCTAAAGGTGATACTTCCATTACACAACTTTTTTTAATCTTTCTGCATTTCTGATTAAATTATGGGTTACATTATTTATTTTTTCAAGCTGTTTTGGTCTTACAGGGAATTATATGATTACATATGTTTCACAAACCAACTGAGAGATTATGATGAAGACAAGAATTCAAAAGAAAGAATGGGGGAGTTTTCAGTTACTTTGAATTCAATGGCTTTAAATATTCGGGAAGATTAAATCTGAGAGAAATAATTTCAGGTTTTTTCTTTTTCGTAAAGTTAAATTTCTTATCAATTAGTTACTATGCTATTGTTGCTTTTATGTTCAAGCTCTCAATTATGTTTTGGTGAGCTTGTTGAGCTCAACTTTGCTGAAACTCTGCTGTATTTGCGAGTATTTTGCTTTATGCTACTATATGATGCCTTCCTTTTATGTGCCGCTTTATGACTTTCCATCTTTAAATTTCTATTGCTTTTCATGCATTCCTGTTCAAAATTATTACTGGTACAATAGATGCTGTCTTAAAATGTGCAATATCAAATGAATCTCGTTACGTACTAAATCTGAGAGGTTGCTTTCTCAATTTCCATTGAAAGAGGCACATACAAAGGTTGGGGCCTTGAGTATGCTCTACATATTCAAGGAGTCAATCTTTCATGTGATTGAAAGAGATTTACTTTGCCATTGTCTTTGTTGCTTTACTGCCCTCATAGAAGGACTTGTCATACTTCAACCAGCTTCCCCATAACGAACATAAAAAGAATCGAAAGAGTAGTTGATCTTTTACATCTGTCGTTGCCTGTATTTTTCCCAGCTCATGAGCATTGTAAGTCCCTTTTGAGAATGGTAACAATATGTAGCTAGTTACTCCATCTTTTTTTTTGCTTCCACCACCTCTTTTTTTGTTTTCACTGCTAGGAAAAATTTAGAAAGTTTCTTCATTTTGTACAAAATTCTGATTCTGTAGTAACATTTACCACCTTTGCTTTATCGCCTCTTTAGTATATAAACAACTCATAAATGAGGTAGGGCCATGCATTTCATATTTCCATCTAAGCAAAGGCAAATGCAAGTGGAAGTGGGGTACTAGAAACAAATTTGTAAATGCTGCATTGAGTTCACTCAAATGCTTCTCAACTGTACTCTGGTACTCGTATCAAACATGGGTATGTATCTAAGTATAAAATATGGTTAATTTTGGAAAAAGTGTTTTTGGTATTAAAGGTAAGATGAAGAGTCGGAGTAACGTAGCTTCTCAAGAACTCATTTCAAACCCTAGCCGTTCGATGGAAAATTCATCAACCTAATAATTGTTTCCTCAAGTTTGATAACCTTTCGAAATTAGAAAGTTGGATTTGTGCCCCTATTCCTTGATGCTATTGTTTGTTGGGTCAGGTGGGTTGGAGGAAGAATCTAGTCTAAGATTGTACAAAAATTGACTATATAATTTGCTGGCATAGAAGAGTCTGAGCACACCTACAGAAACAAGATAACATGAAAGATGAAATGTAACGAGATGAACACAATGACACATTGCTCTATAAGACTATAATAAAGAACAAACTAGATGGGGTACCAATATTGCATGATGCTTCTTATGGTCCCCCTACCCTGTGATGTCAATGTCTAGTAATTTTTTTTATTTTTTTTTATTTTTTATGTCTAGCTGGAAACTTTTTAACATCCTTTTCTTTCTTTCATTTATTTTAATTGTCTTTTTTTTTTTTTCCCCTACTTTCTTTCAAAAAAAACTTAAATTCAAAAAATGAATTAAAAATACAATAAATCTCTTGGGTTCATATTGGGATGGGGACACATACTAGATGGTTGTTGGTACTTATTTATGGTTGGTTGATGGCTACAACTCAGGAGGCAGAACAGACTATAAATTTTTTCTGAGCAATTATTCATCTTAATATA